CAAATACAATGAGTTTTCCATTTATAGCTGTGCTGCAGTTCCATTTTTAAATAAACTTATTTACATAAAAGTGAGTCCATTTAAAGAAAAATATGAATAACCACTAGCATTAAGATAACCAAGTGTCATGAAAGTGTTATACATATAAATGAGGCAGGAGTAACATTCATCTAATAAAATCTCCTTTTGCGAACAAGGTGACTGAAACCTGAAGAGGTAAAGTGACTTGTCAAACGTCACACAATGAGTCCGTGGCAGAATCAGAACACCCCAGGTCTCCTAACTCCCAGTTCAGGGCTCCTCCAACCAGGGGCCTAACTACGAAATAGTGCCTAGGGCAATTAGTATTAAATTGTTGAATGATCTCTTACATCTGGTGATGGAAACTGTGATGGCCAACAGAAACTGCTAATTGGCGCCCCGCCTCAAGTGGTGCCCAGAGCACGCACACCATGCCCAGGGCACCCGTCTTCAACACCGCCCCCCCCGCCGCCATTAGGACTCTGCCTCCAACTACACCATATGCACACAAGGCTAAAGCAAGAGAAAGCCTGGTGCTTAACGAGGGACATGGCAGGCGGCCAGACCTATCTATGTACAATGCCTCATTCACTCCCCAAAAGTAACAGATAAATGAGGTATTTTAATGTAATGATACAGAGACGAGCTACTTGGTTTTGTCCGTGGAGCTAAAGCATTTTGCAAACATTACCTATTACTCAACCTTGATTTCTTTTTTTTTTTTTTCCCATCTCCCCTAAAAAGGATGAGAAGTAAGGACTGACCTAATAGATTACAGAGAATCAGTGGAGGAGTTGGGATCAAACTCCCAAAACTCAATCTGCTTGTCTCCTCATCTTATATGTCACTAGTTTATATGCCCCTGCATAAATATAGCCTGAAAAACAACATGGCTCGGGAGTGCAAATGACACTACAAACGAGGTATCCCGGTGTTACCTCAGGTTCCTCAACCCCAATTCCTCTTAATGGCATTAAACACGACAGAACGCAGGAAGGTCTATCTAAGAAGGAGAAAGTTCATTATTATCTCTAGGACCACAGGCTCTGATTCCACTATAATACTCTAGGGCCATGGCCAAATTACTTCACCTCTTGGTGCATTCAGTTACACTCATTAAGTGAAATGATTTCAAATGCAAATTTATATATAATCCATATGGTCACATATTACCTCCTGAGAATCTGGAAAATCTGACAGTATAAAGAATAAATCATGGACTGTTTTAGGAGAAAACATGCAAAACCTTGTAATGGAAATGGTCCTCATCAAAATAAAGAAATCACACTGAATAAACAGTATTTTTTTTGGGAGTCCTACTCAAAATAGAAATAGAAAACGAAGAACTCATGGGCTAAGAAAAACAATATACAATTTATAGTTTGTTTGTTTTTTTTAACTTACTCTTTCAGAGAATGAGAAGGCTCCAATGCTGTGTTAACTTTTCCAAACAAGATAAAAGTAATTCAGAAATACCTTGGAGTTTTAGATGAATGAAAGCAGAAAAAATAAACATGAATAATTTGGAGTAATATAATTTGTAAATGACCATAAAGAAGTATCTTGAAATATGTTTCAAAGAGCAGGACTCATGGCTATGGAGTTTCATTTTGGGGTGACAAAAATATTTTGGAAAATATTTTGGTGGTTTGGCAATTTTTAATGTACTCAACAGGGCTTCGAACTGGTTCAGTCATGGTTGATGAAGCGAAACTGAAAAGAGACCAGAATTTTTACAATTTGGGTGATTTGGCATGGTAGCCGGAATGGGAAAAATTACAGGTCAAAGCCCTGGAACGGGAGACTCGAAAGAGGCATAAGTGAGCCCTTTTAGGAGCCTGATGCGTGAGGCTGGATTAATGGCAGGACTCAGGACAGTGAGACACATTCTAAGCTGTGTGGTCAGCCACCATCTTTCAGCGGGTTGCTATCATCTTTGACCGGGACACAGCTATTTCCAACTGCTCAAAAGCCCATGGGTAAGAGACTTGGTTGCTATGCAACACGTACACTGCCCTTGTTTTCTAAAAGGGAGATTAAGTTTCTAGCAGGGCTCCAACCCGTTAATTTTTCCTGTTCTGGTTCACCCAGATTTTAAAAATTCGAGTCTGTTCCAGTGATGCTGTCTCTGCCCTGACTGATACAGGAAGAATCAGTTCAAAGCCCTGGTACTCAATGGCACTAAATCGTTCACTATAAAATGGTTAATTTTATGCTCTGTGAATTTCGCCTAAATATAAAAAAAGAGGAAAGAGGAGAGGTGAAAGAGGTTAGCATTTTGTTAAGGGAGGTGAGGAAAAGAAGGCTTCTGTGTGGGAAAGTCAGTGAGGGAAGGCCTTTTCGAGGGTAGGTGGTGGAAGGAAGGTGTTTGTGAGGGAGGGAAGGTGTTTGTGAAAAGAGATGAGAGAGGGAAGGTGTTTGTGAGAGGAGGTAAGGGAAGAAAGTGTTTGTGAGAGGAGGTGAAGAAGGGAAGGCCTTTGTAAGGGGAGCTAAGGAAGGAAAGGTGTTTCTGAGTGGAGATGAGGGGGGAGAAGGACCTTCGTGAGGGTAGGAGAGGGGGAGAAGGCTTTTGTGAGGGGAGGCGAGGGGGGAAGGCTTTGTGAGAGAGGGAAGGTGTTTCTGAGGGGAGGTGGAGGGAAAAGCCTTTCTGAAAGGAGGTGAGGGACGAAGGCGTTCGTGAGGGGAGGCGGGGGG